CTCACTTGGTAGCCCAGGCTGGCCTCGAACTCACAGAGATCCGCCTGGCTCTGCCTCCCGAGTGCTGGGATTAAAGGCGTGCGCCACCACCGCCCGGCAAAGTCTAAGTTTTTAAAACATTTTAAATGCCATATTCTGTAGGTCTTTGAAGTGTTTTAAGATTACCTACCTAATTGAATTATATCTATGTATACCTATAAAACTTAACATGACTATAAGCTTGACTATCATAGAAGACTAATTATTAATCTGTATTTCTTAATTATCCATTACAATTTAAATGAGTTACATAAACATAATACCTTAAATGAGAGTAGAAATATACATACAGTATAACAAAATTAACTTTAAATTTGTATCAATAAACTAAAATCCATAGCAATGTAAAATATTTTAAGCAAGTTGTTGCTCTTTAAAAAGTAGGTTCAACAATCCACCCTTTTATCCTATCATATCCATATCCTATATTTCCATATCATACCCCCTTTCTTCTTTAGAAAGATATTGTCTATGACCAATAATAATTTGTAACCAACAACCTAAACAACGACAAACATCCATAATCTATTTTTTGGGAATGTGGGTGTAGTTTTTTTTAGGCTACTTCCTGCTGATAAAGGGTGCCGTATTCTTATGGGGATCCTGAGAAAATTAAGAATTATGGTCAAGCCTTGACTGAAATAGTCTATGAGGCTGCATTGTCTGAGCCAGTTGCCTTGAAACTGTTTTGGATGTTGTTGGATCATCTGGGCCATGGTGTCATCAGAGACCTTTCAGGGGGTCTTGGTTGGTAAAACCATATTAGCCTGGAAGCAATCCACAGGTTCTCATCTTGTGTGGAAACAAAAGCAGAACCTCTTTTCCAAAGCAACGTATCCTTAGACATAGATTTTGAAATCAAGATATCTTTAAAATATACATATTGATTTAACTCAGCAGCTTTTACAATCAAATGTCTTTCTGCAATTAAAAATCCCAAAGACAACATAATCCAGACTCTCTGTGTAATATCCATCTTTACATGGCTTATATTTATATTACCTTTACTGTCTCTTTAAAGACATTATTTTTTTAAACTATTTCTTTATATAACTGTCTATAGTCCTTTTCTTCTCTCTTCTAAGCCTAAGTACATTTTTACACACACCCTAAACCATTTAGAGATTTATTTAATCTGAATCTGTCTTATTGTGAATCTATTGCTTTAAAATGTAGAATGACTAGGACTGAAATGGCAGCTTTGGCTGCTGGTTCTGCCCACCTCAGCTTCCCAACATGGCGGAAGTACGTTTACTTCCAGCTCTGGGAACCATGCTCACCACTGACTCTGGGAAGCAGTGGGTCTATGCTTCCATCCAGCAGCGTATAGCCCAGGTTTTTTTTTTAGTAGCAAAAGCTATATCCACCACGCACTTGCAGAAACCTCTGTGTAACTCAGTAGGAATCCGCCATGCTGTAGCTCCAGCCCACATGCCATGAACCCACCATAGCCAGGGGACGCATCATTGTACCTAGGCCCGCCATGAGCGACATGAACTAGGAAGGTGCTCTTAGCTACATTTATAATCTCTTCTTAAGATCACTCAGATTTCAGATGGAGAGTAACTTTTGTATTTTTTTTAATCATAACTTTGACACAAATCTAACTATTTTGAAATACCATTTCTCCCTTAGGATGTAGCTTACTAATTTACATATGGGAAGCTACTCTTCTTACTTGTGATCAAGTCTTGTGTCATTTACCATGGAAATGGGCCAGTATAATGCCACTCTACATCTAACATCGTGTGTCCAATAAACAGCACTTAATTCACAAGAGGTTTCTACTGAGGCACAAAAAAGAGATGTTGGAATCGGTTGCCTGGTGTTGAGACAAGCACTTAGGTTTTAAATATGGCTAACCATTGCTCAAATTCTAAATGGTCTTATAATAAAACCTGGAGCCAGATATTGGGGTAAATGCTGAAAGATCAGAGAGACAAAGGAACAAGCCAATGCCATGTCTCACCTCGCCAACTCCATGAATGCCTCTGAGTCCTCAGCTGAAAGGCTTCATCAGCCAAAAGGGTTCCAGCTGAAAAGGCTCCAGCTGAAAAAGAGCTTTAGTTCCCGTCTCCTCACGCCTTATATACTTTTCTCTGCCCAGCCATATTACTTCCTTTCTAGTGCTAGGAAGGATCAAAGGTGTGTGTGCTTCCCAAATACTGGTATCAAAGGCATGAGATCTCAAGTGCTGCTATTAAAGGCATGTGATTCCAAAGTACTGGGATTAAAGGTGTGTGCCACCACTGCCTGGCTCTGTTTCTCTCCTAGACTGAGTCAATCTCATGTAGTCCAGGGTAGCTTTGAATTTACAGAAATCCAGATGTACCTCTGCCTCCCGAGTGCTAGGAATAAAGGTGTGTGCCACCACTGCCTGGCTTCTACGTTTAATCTAGTGACTTGTTCTGTCCTCTGATCTTCAGGCAAATTTTATTAGGGTACACAATATATCACCACAGCTAACCTGTCCCCCTACTGTTCTGGGGAAAAGCGCAACTCTTCCCAGATCTACCAACACAGACAGTGTGCTGCTGGTGGTGTCTTAGAAGCTGCTTTGGAAACACTCTATGCTTCGCAAGGACCACATCTGTGGGAGCATTTGGGAATACCTTCATGGAAATTGGGATGGGGGGCATGGGGTGTGCTATCTCTTGGCTATCACTATAAAACCACAAAACATTCCTGATTTCCCTTGTGTAATTTAGCTTCAGTCCCCACTCAAAGGAGGTCCACGACCACTCAAGTGTTCCTGTCCCACCATGACCTGCACAGCAACTGTAAAAAGTAGTGGGGGCTGGAATGATGGCTCAGTGCCTAAGAGTGCTTGCTGCTCTTGTCGCAGACCAGAGTTCAATTCCAGTATCCATGCTGGGTTGCTCACGGCTGCCACAACTCCAGGTCCAGGGGATCTGATACCCTCTTCTGGCCTCAGTAGTCACATATATATGCCTGACATATACATGCATAGACACACACACACACATTTTTAAAAAATTACTGATGCATGTGAAAACATGGGAGAATCTCAAAGATACCTTCTGTGAGGAATAAAAGACACCCAAGTATCAGCTCCTTTACCTAAATGTCTAGAACAGACAAAGTAGAAATAGAGATCATCGCATATGTCATAACAGCAGGTGGTAAAAGAACCACCACAGACAGTGCGAGCCAAAGGGAATCTTGACCCAGGCATATCCACAGGAGCATATGTTCTCCAGAACTCACTGCTAAGTTTTCAACTAAAGATCTGCATCCTTCAATGTGTCCATGCAATATACCAACCTAAAACATACCAAGGCAGCACCTGGCTGTTCCCAGGACCGCTTCTTAGCTGTGAAGGAAAGAAAATACTTCCACTTCTTATCTCTAGGCCAAAGTACAGAGAGCAGCTCACAGGTGCTTTGCAAATAGACTGGATTATTTCTAAACAAACCTGGCTGGGAACAAAGTCATCAGTGTGGCTATCTCCTCCCCCACCGTCTGAGCCTTTCCAGTCTCTTTCTGGGTTCACAGGGGTGGAAGACTGCTGGCCACCCATCCCACCCCTCAAGTGGCCAAGGCATGTGTCTTCACAAATACTTCTTTTCACTGAACAGCACCCCATAAGGTCTGTTAAAAGCAACAGAGTAGCAATATGATAGGGAGGCCTTGTGTCTAGAGGGACTGTGATGATGACGTACAGCTTGGGGGTCTCTTCTTCCCTGTTCTTATTTTGGAAACAGTGTTGGACTCAGAAGGAGCCACAGAGCCCTTTCTTCCTCACACCCCACCCCTCGCTGTTTCTTTCCCTTGAATCTCTCTTTATAACAGCCCTGCTCCACAGACTGTGCTGGTCTGCGTCTTTGTGATAACTGGGGTTCAGGGCACTTGTGCGCAGCCCTCTCTCTCTTGTCCTGGCATTTCTTCAACAGAGTCCGAAAGATAAAACATGTTTGTAGAAGGTCATGGCCAAGCCCCTGATCACACCTGTACATCCCACTGCAGCACAGTAAGTCACAGTGCCACCTGAACAAGAGAAGTGGGGAGGGCACCAAAGTGGGAGGTGGCTTCAGGAGCAGACTCTGAGCCCAAGATCCCGGGGTGGTGCTGCTGGCTCACTGTACCCTGGGAGGCCTCCCTCTGGTCCCGCCCTCCAGGGATATCCTCATCTCTGCGGTCCAGGCTCCTAGTCATTCACCTTCCCAAGCACACTTGAGAACTGCTGCCTTTTTGAGCGCTGCCCCTGCGGGCTCATCCCTATGTCTATGGGTGTCAACAGATTCCTGTTTCCGTCTGTGCAGATGTTGCTCTGCTGGACCATTGTCCTGCTGGCCACCGTCAGAGGTAAGGATGCTATCACCATCCCTCCAGTAAAAAGGTGACAACTGGAGACTGAGATGAACAAATGCCATGTCTAGGGTTCATAGGCATGTCAAAGTACTTAATGTTAAGAACGATGTGACTTGCTCTGACGAGCGGCTTCCTGTGCTGTTTCATTGCAGGTGAATGTGTCTTGAATTTGCCTGATAAGGATGCTTATTAAATATGCTATTGCAGAGTCAACCTAGGACCCTCCTAGTCTCTGGGGGAGATGCCTGGATGTGTATATGCCAGATGTATCCACACCCCAGATATCTCTTATAGGCACAGAAGTTCGGATAACTATTAAGACGACTGGTCTGGCCAAGGTCCACCCTGAAAAATCTTCCTGTGACAAATGACATTACCCCTTCCCAGAACCTAATGCCTGTCCTGTCTGTGGCTCTTCCTGCACCAGGGAAAGAGGTTTGCTATGGACATCTTGGCTGCTTTTCCAATGAGAAGCCATGGGCAGGGATGATTCAGCGGCCTTTGAAGATGTTCCCTTGGTCCCCAGAGGACATCAATACCCGCTTTCTTCTGTACACAAATGAAAATACAAACAACTACCAAGTAAGTGTGGGCATGGATGTCTGGGTTGGGATGACAGAATCAGTTTGGACCACATACCGGTGGCACTAAGTAGCTGGCTAGGGCATAACTGACACTTGGGAACCATCCTCCTAACGTGGGAGTTCTTGGCTCTAAGGGTCATAGCCCCTGAGTATCTGAGAAAATACAGAAATAAAATGCAGAAATGTACACATTCTTACACATTAACATACAGATCTCCAGATCCACCCTAGAACCCTGTCCCAAGAAGAAGAGTAACAGTGATATTTGTGGAGAAGGTATAACCCAGCTACGTCCTCCATCACCTTTTCATGGGGGTAACAGAGCAGTAACATATGCAAAGCAAGAACACACAACATGATCAGGGAGGACGTACAACTAACCACGGGATTTGAGAATATGGTGTCCCTGGGGACTTTCAGGACAGGCCTGTCCCTTGAAGTCACCAGGTGACCAGAGAGTTTTTCAAAGATGACTTTGCTATGAGTTTGAGTAGCTCAAGCTGTGGTCCTTGGCAAGTGGGTCTGCCTCTAGGTGCCTGGGGCCACCCGCTCTGGGACTTAGTTCCTCCAGCCTGGAAGCTGTGTAGACACAGTGGCCATTATTGCCTTTGTTGTCCTATCCTTCTAGCATTTGCTGGCAGGAGGGTCCTGAGCAAGTCTGTGGGCATGTGGAAGTCTATTCTAAAGTATCAGGCTCCCCAGAGCTGGAGCTCAGGCTTGTGGCGTCTAGCCAGGGGTTTTCTACCTTCCCTGTGTAAGGAATCTATTTAGCTACCAGAGGAAGCCTAAAGGCTCTTCTCAGGATAATATCTGCAAGTGGATAAAATAAAATTTAATGGACTGCAAATGAAATCAATTAGATTGAAAACAGTCATCAGAATGTGAAAAAATAAAAAATATGAAGCATAGTATTAAATATGCTATTTTATCATCTCAATAAAGATTGATCTAAAAACTACTGTAACTAAGCAGCAATGAGTATAAATGACACTTGGAGGTATTTACAACATGGCATGAAAATATCTGTGACTTTAATTGAGGAACTGAGTCACAGCTGTTGCTAATTCCACCATAGTTTCTTGCCTGAGCCATGCTTAACAGAAATACTAGATTTAGGTTCAAGGTTCAGGAAAACAGGAAGTCAGTGAGCATGTGCTTTCTGGATTCACAGGACACAGCTACAGGACCTGGGATCTTAGTCTCATTGGTCTGTCACAGGCCTGCAGATGGGCCAGGCCAACATTCAAACTCATCTTGTCTAATTAAACCAGGTGATCTCTGCCACTGACCCAGCCACCATCGAGGCTTCCAACTTCCAACTGGACCGCAAGACACGGTTCATCATCCATGGCTTCATAGACAACGGAGAGGATGCCTGGCTGCTTGACATGTGCAAGGTGGAGATCCATCCTCCTCACCCGATCCCACGCTGCATGCCCTTGACACCAGGAAAGAAAATATTCCTGGAAGAGAAGGATTCTTCCTAAAAAAAAAAAACCATTAAAGAATGCCTGTTTCTCAGGCCTCCATTGCCACATTCTCCCACGGTTGCTAGCCAGCAAGTCTCAGACGTGGGGACTCCACACACCACCTGATAGTTTGTCTCTGGCTCCTGTGTGGCATTAAAACGAACAAAAGTATTGCCCTCTTAAGCTCCAGCAGCTCACAGAATGTTCTGTGGTGATGGACATGTTCTGATCTGTGCTGGGAGCCGCTGGCCACATGCAGGTTTGGAGCCTTTGAAATGTGCTATTGCACCAGATGACATGCATTGTGAGCTTTATAGCCTAGGAATTTGTTTTTCTCTGACTTGGTAATTTATTTGGACCTGGCTTTGAGCCCTGAGACTAGGAACTCATCTGCTCAGGCCTCAGTTTCCGTTCACAGTGCCTCCCCAAAGGTCCACTGTGGCAGGCAGGAGGGAAACTGAGGCGCTGCCAAGGACCAAGTGCTTTATGGAAGAGAATCCCTGTCTCTGAGGTGTGCAACCTGGCCTGTTTATGAAGTTTGTTCTATTTCTTTCCCCTAGAAAATGTTTCAAGTGGAGAAAGTGAACTGTATTTGCGTCGACTGGAAGCGCGGGGCCAGGACCGAATATACCCAAGCTGCCTACAACACTCGGGTCGTGGGCGCTGAGATTGCTTTCTTAGTACAAGTGCTGTCGGTAAAGGGCCCCCTTTGGCCCAGTCTTGGGCAAGGTTGGAGAGGGGCGGGGCTAGATATGGGCGGGGCTAGAGAGAAGGGCGGAGAAGTGCCACCTTGTACACCGAGGTTGCTAGGGACCAAGGGCAGGGGTGGAGCTGTAGGTCAAACAAACCAAGTTCTCAACACCCTCCTGAGGTGAAGCAACAACCTTTCTCCCTGCTGACTGTGTACAATGTCCTAGCTGTGGACCTGGGAGCCTCGGTTTCCCCTTCTGACATAAGGCCTTCCTTGCAAGTTATTCTGGGAACTGAAAGCAGACTGGTACGGCCAGCAGTTCTCTCTGTGAAAGAAGGCTTTTGGGTTTCATCCTTTCTATGGGATAGGGGTGGGGTGGGGATTACTCTTGGATCCCTTTCTTCCCTGTTCTAAGTTCTAGAAGGTCCAAGGTCTCACTGTATCCAGTCCTCTACAACCAGGGCAGAGGCCTCCATGGCGACACCAGGTGGCGACAGCAGCCAGAGAGGTGGCCTGCAGTTAGCCTGGCGGCCACTGGCCAGCACTGTTGCTGCGCACAAGAGCAGGGAACCTTCTCCAAAGGCACAGCAACCTGCAGAATCACTTGGCTGAGCAGTCCCGGGTGGAGGGCTCATTCCCCTGAAGTCTCCAGCTCCGAAGAGTCCAGTCCCTCTGGCAAAGACCAGCCTCTGCTCCCCGACCTTCTCGTTCTCAAGTGGTTCTCGGGGAGCTAACGCTTCGTCTTTCCACAGACAGAGCTGGGATACAGCCCAGAGGACGTGCACCTCATCGGCCACAGTCTGGGAGCACACGTGGCCGGGGAAGCAGGCAGGAGGCTGGAGGGGAACATAGGCAGGATCACAGGTAGGAGTCCTGAGCGCCAGTCTGGGGTCCAAGGGCCGGGGAAGTGAGTAGAGGAAGCCTCCGCCATCGCATGTCCCGCGCAGAGGACGCGCCCCTCCTGCTTTCCTGAGTTTAGCTGATAGCCTGACTCAAAAAGAATTGTCCTTGGCCGGGCGATGGTGGCGCACGCCTTTAATCCCAGCACTCGGGAGACAGAGGCGGATCTCTGTGAGTTCGAGGCCAGCCTGGACTACCAAGTGAGTCCCAGGAAAGGCGCAAAGCTACACAGAGAAACCCTGTCTCGAAAAACAAAAAAGAAAAGAAAAAAAAAAAAAAGAATTGTCCTTGTTTCTTCATACCTATTAGAAAATTCATAGTCATAGATAAAAATATGTTTGTAAAACAAGAAAAAAATATAACCAAGTTCAGGCTCATGAAACCTAACTTCAGGGACATGACTGCTGGAATGTAGCAAGGTTATCTTTGTTTGTTTGTTTGTTTGTTTTAAGTGATAAGATTTTTTTTTTTTTAATTTATCAGTTCCACTTACTCCTTGAATGTTTTTGCTCAGTCTGGCACAGCCAGAAAGAGACTTACCACTTAGGAAATGCTTGGTGAATGAAGGAAATATTAGATGGAGCTCATGCACACAGGACAGACTGAGACAGCTATTCTGTCCCTGCCCTGGGCCCTGGACTGAAGGATAGGAATAGTGTTTTATAATCCTGTAGACATCTTCAGTTTGCAGGGGCCTGTCTGTTACATCTCATGGGATTTTCATAATAGACCTGTAAGAGGGATGGCCTGTTCTCATTCCCTGGATGGGGGCAGATGCCGGAACAACAGACAGTCCCCCTTCCCATCCTGGCATCTCTCTGAAAATGGTGGGTACAGCCTCTGTTTCAGGGAACCCACAGACCGGTCCAGAATGCAGAAAGCTAAGAGCACAAAATAATGTCATGGCTAGGACAGGAGGAGAAATAAAAGTTTCCATGAGGAGGCTGTATTTGAGCTGGGGCTTAGTGAAGAAAGAGGTAACTAAAGGGAGAATGTGTCAACGGGTCAGAAGGCTGGGGAATGGCATGGGGAAAGATGTCGGTCATGTATAGATCTCAGGGACTGGGGAACAACTGTGTGAGGTCATAGAGCTTGTGATCTCTGTGAAGAAAATAGGGGAATTGAGAGGAGTGGGTGCCTCACCCAGACCCTCCCTGGAACTGACGCTAGGAATTTCTGAGCATTCTCTAGGCAGCATTTCTGTTCCCCACCCCCTGCTCTGGCTTCTCTTTCTCAAGTAGACCAGGAGCTGCAGCATCGCAGCGCTGTAATCACTGGGGTGTGCAGGGTTTCCTTACCCAGCACTCCCCGCCTCAGTCTGTGGTTGGACACTTGAACCTTGTCTTCCGTGGGCTAAGATGCTTCTACCTCCATTCTACCCTTCAGGGCTGGACCCTGCAGAGCCCTGTTTCGAAGGCCTGCCAGAGGAAGTTCGGCTGGATCCATCAGATGCCATGTTTGTAGATGTGATTCACACAGATAGTGCCCCAATAGTTCCCTACCTAGGTGAGTTCTTCACCCCAACTCCTCATGACCAGTGACTGATGGCATCATGTCCAGGTGACTCCCTCCCCCCGACACACAGCTGCAGAGGAAATATTCAACATGGTTAAGTACAGAGCACCTTAGGTCCCGATCAGTAACAATGGATACCAGCCACAACAATTACCCAGTACAGTGCTGCTGGCAGGGGTCTGTGACCCCAGGCCGAACTGAAAACTCTTCTATAGCCTAGGACTCATCCATGGCTGCATCTCTCCCTACCTCCAAAGTAATAGATGTTTTCACTTGACCTGACTCCAGTTTTTAGACTTAATTTTTTATTTTAAAAAAAAAAATTGCCAAAGCTTTGGTTACAGTTTTGTAACACAAATCCTAATTGGTCTTAACAATAAAAACCCAGAGCCAGATACCGGGGTAAATGCTGAAAGATCAGAGAGACAAGGGAGCAAACCACAGCCACCTCTTACCTCGCCAACTCCTCAGAGGAAAAGGAGGCTGAGCCCCTGTCTCCTCCCACCTTATAGTCCTCTCTCCGCCCAGCCACATCACTTCCTGTCTCCATCTCCCTAGTGCTGGGATTGAGGCATGTGCCACCACTGCCTGGCCTCTATGGCCGACTAGTGGCTTAGCTCCACGCTCTGATCTTCAGGCAAATTTTATCTGTTCAAGCAAACAAAACCTCACAACAGTTTGTCCTGTTGAAACTACATCCTTTTGTTTAATTCTTCTAAAATCAGCATTCTTTTTCTTCAGTACTTTGTATCACATAACCACTCAAGAAACATGCCCACACAGGGTGTGCTTTAACAACAATGGCAACGATGATGACAGAGAGGGCATTTACTGAATATTTAACGTGTGCTGCACTGAACATTTTGTGCATAAAAGCTTATCATGCAGCACCCTAAAGGGGAAATTGTCAACACCTCACAGCTGAGGAGATTGAGACTGAATAACTCAGTAAGATCGTGAAGTTGGTCAGTGGAACCAGGGTCTGTGGACCTCAAAAATCTAAAGGTCCTCCCCATTTTCCTGCTCGGATAACCTCTGTGGCCTCACTATAGGAATACAAACTAGAGGATTTGAGACGTAGTTCAGTTGTAGAGAGTTTCTGTCATATGCTCACCACATCGCAAATGTAAGAACTGCAGTGAGGGAAGGGCTTGCTTAGTGGTTAAGAGCACACACTGCACTTAGAGGAGACCTGGGTCTGGAACTCTACCTCCAGGAAGTAGCTGCCTCTGGCTTCTGAGGGCACCTACACTCAGGTGCACGTATCCATACACAGACACCCAACATACACATAATTAAAAAATATATAATGCAGAAACCAAATATTTAAATAAATAATATAATACACATGCTACCAGATACATGCCAACTGGTTCCTTATGATCTTGGACTTTTCAGTATTGCCCAGGACCTCTCCAGGTTAGACAGATAGGCACATATATGAGTAGATACACACCCATAACTCACCCTCTCCCCACCTCCCCTCCTGTGTTGGTACTTCCTCCTTGCCCTGCCAATTGCCCATCTGAGAACTCTCTGCAGAGAGAGTTGATGTGGTGAAGGGGGAAATTGCTGAGGTTTGTGCTCCTGTTTGAATGGACTGAACACCTCACTGAGGCCAGATGTAACTCTGGGACCATATACACCCCTGCTCACTTGTGCTTCAAATATTTCAGGTTTTGGGACGAGCCAAAAGTCAGGCCACCTGGATTTCTTTCCAAACGGAGGGAAGGAAATGCCCGGATGTCAGAAAAACATCCTTTCCACTATTGTTGACATAAACGGAATATGGGAAGGTATGTGTGTGAAGGAAGTGAGGCAGTAACCACCCACCTGGGCGTGAAGGCAGAATGTTTGAGTCCAGCCACCACAGTGATAAACTTGCTGCCATTTATCACGGGCTTGGTCTGAGCCAGGCATTCACAACACCATGAGATATTTCACATGCAGGCACAGGGTGCCTGGAAAGCTACACATTTTGTTCAAGGCTGCACTATATATAAGCCTGGCTTCTTACTGGAAGGCTCTGAGCTCATATCTCAGTTGTCAGAATGCCAGGATAAGATTTGGACACAGTGGCAAACACCCAGCTCTGGCCTCGCCCTCATCACCTTCTTAGCTCCTGCTCCCCTAAAGCGCTGCAGAACCTCCACAGGTGTGCAGGCTCCGCCTCTCTTGCCATTGGCTGTGTCAGGCAGGGAACTGAGGTAGCTGGTTAGAAGGAGATGCACTCTGAGGGTTTGGGGTATTCATGGGCAGGGAGGCGTGAACTGTGAGTAACGGTGTGAGTTCCTGAAGCCTATGTGTGACTTTGTTCTTCTGGAGAGCAGGACTTGCACACTTCATATTAGGTGACACCCCAGAGCCACCAGGAGAGGGACAAAGAGAACAAGTGGCAGTCATATCGATGGCTCCAGCCACTTGTTGTCTTTGTCCCTCTCCTGAGACCAGGCTTCACCAAAGAGGGGGTTGGGGTCAGTAATCATTTTATTTGTCATTATTTTTCTGAAGCTGAAGCTCCATGTGGCTGTGTCTTTACACACCCCCACCCCATCACCCCAGTACCTGGCCCTGACCTGAAGCAAGCACCAAGCACAGGCTGTTGAGTGGTTTGGTGTGGCCTTTTAATGTCCCACGTGCTTAATGTCTGCAAGCAGTATGGATAAAGAGACATCCAGCACCTAGTGAGAAATAAACAGAGCTTTTGACCTCTTGGCCCTTTACCTGGTAACTCATTGGGGGACTGGCTGTTCTCCCCCTAAAGAAGCCCCAGTCGTGATAACAGCTGCCCCCTCCCAGAAGTGACAGACAGGGCACACACAATAGCAGAGAGTCCGGGTTTAATTAAAGAGGCAATTTAGAGCGAACCAGCCCATGAGCACTGGAGTGTGTTTCTATTGTATGCCACATAAGTCACGCCGGCGCTGGGCACAGGGAACCATTGAACACACTTTCTCCTCTATTATGGGATCCCTGAGCGGCAATTTTGGATGAAAGAAACAATTAAGTTTAAAGCAGGCTCTGTTGTCTACGGAGGGGCACTAGTGTGAGCACTCTGAACTGGATGGTGGGCTGGGGGCACAGCAGGAAGGGCGAGCTCTCAGCTGAGAGAGCAGCTACCCCACCCACAGAGGGAACAGGTCCTCTTTTGATGAGTGACTCCCATGAATGGTCCTATTAGATTCCTCCATGGGAAGTTTTATGTCAAGTAACTGGAGAAATGAAAAGTGATTTTTCCCAACAAGTCATCTTTGGGTCAAAGTAGAAGGCGGTACACTGGAATCACCTGAACTTGGCCCAGCTTAGAGGAGGTGTAACTCAGCCTTAGCGCAGCCTTAACAGTGAGGCCTGAGAACGGCCTCTCAGGAAGGGCTGTGTACACACGTGGCTGCTGTGCAGTACTGTGCTGACAAAAAGTCAGCACATGCTTTGTGCAAATACAATCATCATAGACCTAACAGCATGGTCCAGTCATAGCTGGCTGAACCCAAGGGCGTAGAATTCACAGACAGTGAAGACCACCTGTTGGCTATCTCTATCTTCTCTCTACTTGCATACCTATCTGTGTGTTCTGTTTTTAAAAACTAAGCCTTTAAAAGCTTTTTAAAATCGTTGGTTCTGTTTTCTCTTTCCATGTATATGCAGACTTGTCTGTTTTTGTCTGTTCCTCTTTCTGTGTGTCTATCTGTCTCTTTTTCTCTCTGACCCTCGGTTCCCCCATCCTTCAGTTCTTTCATATGTTACACACATTCAACACACATACTTCTAGGACTTGTCTCCCCAGCAGGTGCCTGGCCTAGCATCCAGAGGGTAGAGGCTGCTCCTTGCTCACTCAGAATGGCTGGCCTTCTGAAGGTGAAGGCTCTTCTCTCATTCCTGTCTCCTTGGCTTTCTCAGGAACTCAAAACTTTGCAGCCTGCAACCACCTCCGGAGCTACAAGTACTATGCCAGCAGCATTCTCAACCCCGATGGCTTCCTGGGGTACCCCTGCACCTCCTATGAAGAGTTCCAGCAGGTAGGTCACTGCAGGGCCCCAGAGAGAAGAGCCTGGTGGCCCCGCTGGTTGTGTCTGTCTCTGTGACATATAGCATAATAAAAAGATGCCATCTACTCTGCAGGCATGAACAGGGATGTGGGAATGAAGAGGTTTCCAAAGCTGCCTTCCTCCAGCAGTGAACTGGACTGGAGGGGAGACCACATTGCTGGCCACACTGGACCTCCCCAGGGTCCCCAGCTTTTCTTTTAGGACAACTCCTAGTCTATAAGCAGGTTGAAAGAGGAGCACAAAAGTGCCTGTTACACCTATCACTTACACATACCAATTACTAAGGTTTCACACACAAGCATGTATGTGTGCTTTGTCCCTTAAGTATGTGACAGTGAATCATGGGTCCTTCAGTATTCTCCTCCAAGAACAAGACCACCCTCCTGTAAAGGGCACTTAAGAAATTCATCTCTGTACCCCCACAAAAGACTACTGGCAATGGTCGAGAGACAGCTGGGACTGACCTACTCTGGTGATGGGATGGCCAAACACCCTAATAGTTGTGCCATAAACCAAGGACTGAGGAATCTGGATGCAGACATCCATGGCTAGGCCCCGGGTGGAGCACTGGGAGTCTAATTAGTGAGAAAGAGGAGGGTTTATATGAGC